TGACAATTGCTATGAGGAAGGCAAAACCACCGGGTCAGAGCCAATTAACCCGGTGGGCAAATTCCTATCTGGCCCCTTAAAGGACGGCAACCACCGTAGTCGCAGCAAAGTCCTTGGCCATCAGGTTAAACCAAGGGTAGGCAGGCGGGGAAACCCAATGAAGGGACGTACAGGTGCGAGCTGCTTAAATGGGCAAGGGGGTGGAACCGAGGGAAGCCTTCCTGCCCTGTTTGCTCTGGCCCCTGGCACAGCCCAAGTCCCAGCCTGCATCCCCATTCACCAAAGCAGGGTGCAGGCTAGGATCCAGTTCCTGATAGGTGGTGGGGGCATAAGTTCATCAGGAAGGGCACGGCAGTTCCAGTTCTCCCATCAGGGCCCCAGTGGAGCCTCCACCGTCCTGCCACAACGCCACACCAAGAGGGGTGAATGGACTTGATGGACACTTGGCGCGAACCATTGAAGCTGCTCTTTCTCTTTCCGTTCTGCTTGTGCAGGACATAAAAGCAGAACAACACTAACCACAGTCTTGCCCATCAAACATGCAATATAGAAGCCTTCCTACTTTCACTTTCCGAAGCTCTGCTTCATTTAGCCGGAGCTTATTCTGGCAATTGGATTCCAACACATTGTAGTGCCCTTGAGCGGAGAAGACAACAGCACCATGAGCCTCTGGAGGAACTGGATGCTCCTCACCTGGGTGCTGCTTCCAGGTAAGGAAAAGAGAAAGATGGTAGTGAGGGCACAAGTACTGAATTACAAAAAAAGACTTCATAAAGGGATGTGAGCTGTGTGTGGCAAGAGAGGGTAGGATCAGAGGAAGGGGAGGGCATGGCTTCTCTGCAGTTCCAGTCAATGCACGCTGCCATAGTTGAAGAATGCTATCCCCAGATTCCTCAGGAAGAGAGTTTGCCCATGTGTACATAATGTTCAATGTTCCTGAAGAGCTACCCCACTGCTTACTGATTTGCCCAGTCTATGAGGACTTAAGAGCAGACTTGTTCCAATATTTAAACCTCTCAGTTGAGAGATGGATTTGGTACCTTATTAACTTTTTATTAGGGCCCATGCTTGCACAGATGTGAACAGCGCTCACTTCCCCAATGGGCCCCTGACCCTAAAGTGTGCTACAGTGTTGGTGCATTGTTTCCCAACCCCAGATTGTTGCTGTATATGTCCTTGGTTGGTCAGTGGCCATTTCATATGGCTGTGGTTTGCCATCATGTTATCCGTTTGGAGAGTCACTCCCTCCCCGCATCCCTCCCAGATCTGACCAAGCTTCAAAAGGGAGTTAGAATTCAGTGGCAGGGTCTTTGAAGCTGAAAAAGCGGCTCTTGGTGCTGGGAATGTGGTCTGTATGGATGCAGTAACCTATGAATCAACAAGCGACATGGGGTGTGTGTAATTTTATATTTTTCCATGATACTAGTTGGAGAGCTAATGCCTCACTCCAGGTTTATTCTGCTTTTCAGGTTGCATGTCTGATCTGACTGGTCCTGAAGCACTGAGTGGATTTTTGGGCAGGTCACTCGCTGTGAGATGCAAATATGATGTTGGGTTTAGGAAACATGTAAAATATTGGTGCAAAGGAAGTCCATGGAGCAGTTGTGAAATAGTTGTTCGGACGACAGGATCTGAAGAAGAAAGGATGGCCAGCAGACTTTTATCAAGGATAATCATTCTCGTTTGGAATTCACAGTCAGACTGGAGAACCTCACACAGGAAGATGCTGGGATTTACTGGTGTGGCATAGAAAGAACTGGCTCTGATCCTGGATTCCGTGTAAATATTACTGTTCTCCCAGGTGAGTCCTGTTTCCAAGTTATACAGGAAACTCAAAAGAAGGAATAAATGTGACCTTGTGCACATTAACCCCAAAGGTGCTTACTGCTGGGTAAGTGTACACAGACTTGCAAAGATAATGTCACCCCCCCCCAGGATGTCACCGGGGCAGACCACCCCCTTCCGCCGCCACTAAGCATGCCAGAACTGCCCCCCTCCCAGGTCCAGGCAGGCACTGAGAGTAAGAGAACAGAAAGCTCAGAGGCAGAAAGCACAGATCAGCCAACGTAGGGATGACATAATAGGAGAGATGGAGGAGATGGGACTTTACTCAGAGCAATGCCATTATCCAAGAGGTGGCATTATGCATCTCTCTCTGTGAATATTGAATAAATTACCTTGGTAAGAACTTCTTGTTTTCCCCCATTTCTGGCTGCCAGCAGTGAGGGAGGGGGATTAGGTTCCCTGTAGCCTGACAACACCAGCAACATGGTGTCAACCTGATTGACTCCAGTTAATGATTCCCTTTCTTTCCCCCAGAGACATGGGTACTGACCGGTCCAGTTGAAGTGCATGGATATGAAGGGAAATCTCTCTCTCTGCGCTGCCGTTATCAACAAACCTTTGAAGATAACACTAAGAGCTGGTGCAAAATAAAGAAGGCATATTTTGTCTTCATGCGAAAGTTTAATATCATCAGATGGAAAGGTGAACATGGGCAGAGTCTCCCTCAGAGAGAATAAGAAAGAGCACTACTTTCAAGTGACCATGGACAGTTTGAATCTGGATGATTCCGGTGTTTATTACTGTGTTATAGAGCGTTTCTTCTCCAGTATCAGACACAGGGTGAACGTGACAGTTTCTCCAGGTAAATGCTCCTCCTCCTCCTCCTGCTCACCTCCTCCCCTTGTTTGTAATATAGAAATGCAGGAATGAGGAAAGAAAGAAAATCTCCAGTACATCAATTGTGTTCACAGCAATTGTGAAATAGTTGTTCAGACGACAGCATCTGAAGAAGAAAGGACTGCTAGCAGAATTTTTATCAAGGATAATCATTCTCGTTTGGAATTCAGAGTCAGACTGGAGAACCTCACACAGGAAGATGCTGGGATTTAGTGGTGTGGTATAGAAAGAACTGGCTCTGATGTTGGTTTCCCTGTAAATAATACTGTTCTCCCAGGTGAGTCCCATTTCCAAGCACCACAGGAAACTCAAAAGACGGAATAAATGTGATCTTATGCACATTAACCCCAAAGGTGCTTACTGCTGGGTAAGTGTGCACAGACTTGCAAAGATAAGGAGAGTTCCTTCTTATATACTTTAAATATATATATAAGAAGTGAATACAGTATTGTGATAATTTTTCTCTTTCCAAAAGGACATTATATTGCCCGTTAAGCAGGTAAATAATGGTAAATGAAACAAGGCTTGTTTTATGTTGCTCCATGATGCTGGTGTAAAATTCACATTAGGGAAAACTATGCTTGCAGAATTGTCTCCTGTCACCGATTCCCCTGTCAGCAAGTTCAAAATCCCAAGGGACATAATAAAATAATGGGCGGCTTCCAACAGGGTATACAAAAACACAGCAGCAGCAGCAGCAGCATAGAATATCACACATTAAAAGTATAGGTCTGCCTTCAGATGTTTACGGAAGATCATATAATTATTTATCTCTTTGATATCTTACTGGAGGGTGTTCCACAGGGTGGGTGCCCCTACTGAGAAGGCCCTCTACCTGCTTCCCTGTAACTGAACGTCTCACAATGAGGAAATCCCCAGAAGGCCCTTGAATCTAGACCTCAGTGTTTGGGCTGAACAATGGGGGCGGAAACACTCCTTCAGGTATACTGGGCCAAAGTCATTAAGGGCTTTAAACCAACACTTTGAATTGTGCTCAGAAACACACCGGGAGCCAATGTAGGTCTAGTCGCGCAGTGAAGTCAAAACGCAGGGTCAAAATTCACAGTAAAAAAAACCTTTACTGAGGCAAACAGTCTTCTTTACAAACACTGTACCAACAATAATGGTAGAGAGCAAAATAAAAAGAAGTAAAGAGCACACTGAGCCCATGTATTTATCCTTCCTGGCTCCGTGTTACTTCCTGTAATTGAAACAATATTTGTATAAGGAATGAGTCAGCTAGAAGAATGAATCTTCACTTTTCAGCATTTTCCAGCACTTTACTGCTTCTGTTCTCAAAGGCCTTTGTCACATGACAGGTCTTTCAGGATAGATGTTATACAGTATAGTCCCAGCAGCCGCTCCCAGTCACCAGTCTGGCAGCCACATTCTGCATTAATTGTAGCTTCTGAGTTACCTTGAGCGCATTGCAGTGGTCCAAGCGGGAGATAACCAAAGAATGCACCACTCTGGAAAGACAGTCTGCAGGCAGGTAGGGTCTCAGGCTTGCTTTTATGAGCCAGAATAGGCAAGGGTCAAGGAGACAGGTTTCACTCATCCAGGCACACCGTCTACCTCCTCAGAGGTAATCAGGTTGAAATTGATCTTATACATCTTGACTAGACAGAGCGCTGAAACTCTCCCACCCCAGCCCTGCTACCACAGTGGCGCCTACCTCTTTCTGAATCTGGGTGATTTTATCTGCAAAAAGCTTTGCAAAATCGTTGCAGGACATTTTTGAGTCCTTCTTGGACCTCAGTGGCAAAGGTAGTTCTGTTAGACTACAAACCACCTAAGAGTCTCCTGGAACCGCTTTCTGCAGATGCCATAGAGACAGTGAAAAGGGTCTTCTTTGCCATCGCTATTGCGATTTGGTAGGCTCTGCAATGAGCTCTAACCTATGTTCAGTCCAATTTAGGACATGTTTTCCCCCACCGGCGCCCTAGTCCTCTCAGAGATCGTTTCATCGCCTTCAGCCCTTGGGAAAACCACATGGTCATCCCAGCTCCATGCAATCGAAGAGGGCACTTCAGAGTTAACAGTCTAAGACCCTGGTTAACTACACATTCCAGTGGGTCACCAGAGTATCAGCTGAGAGGCCATCAGCATGGGATAATAATATATCCCCTACCCAGTGTTTTTTTCTGGGGGGACGCAGGGGTACACATACTCCTAAACATTTTGTGAATCTTTGTACAGTACTTTTATCCATTTAGCTACTGTATTTATTTCCCCTGATTTGAACTTTAAAATGGTGATTTTCTTGAGTCAAAATGAGAGTACTCCTAAACATTTTTTAAGGGGGGGGAGCACTGCACCTATCACTCTTTTGAAGCCATTTGGATCCGTTAAGTGGCAGAGGCAGACCATTCAAATTGGTCTCACCTCCCTGCAGATGGGAAGGGTTGTGGAGAAGTCTAGTTGTACCAGGAAGTGATCTGACCATTGGCACTTGTTTTGTTTGACTGGAACTATCCCTTATTTGCCAGTCCCTCTTCACATTTTCTGAAGTTCTTGGTCTCTTCAGTGTCTGAAGCTGTCCATTTCCTCATCTTTGTTCAGCTTCCTCCTCAGATTCAGAAGAAACAACAGCAATTAGCTGGCAGTCAGAACCTGATCTCTTTCTAATAACTACCACACAAGAACAAACAACCAAACAATCCTCCCCAGATTCCTCCGTGGATTCAGAAGAAACAACAGCAATTAGCAGTCAGTCAGAACCTGATCTCTTTCTAATAACTACCACACAAGAACAAACAAACAACCAATCAGGCTTCAGCCCTATTCCAACAGAGTAAGTATTGAGATTCCCTTTGTGATAACATGTGATATCACTGATATTTTGGCTCAGCAACCTCTAAAAGGTTTTCATGCTGCCACCTCCTGGTGGCTAGCAAGGCCTGTTTTCCTTGTTTGTAATTCATTTTTTAAATAAAGTTTTCAATTATACAGTTTCCACAAATAAAACCACCATCTATAAAATACATCAACTTCCCTTCTTCTCCTTCCGTGGGTCTTTTAAGTTTCCCATTCTTACTGCCTATTTTATTCCAACCAACCAATTTCTCCTCCTTTTCATATTACCTCAATCAAAATCAGACTGTTGAATTAATCCTGCTTAGTGTTTTCACTTCTTACAATTATATGCAAATACTCCACAAAAACTTTCCATTCCTGTTTATAAACTTGATCATCTTGTTCTCTGACCCTGCTGGTTATGCCTTCTAACTCTGCACATTCCATCATTTTTAGTTGCCATTCCTCCTAGTTTTCCGATATTCCTGAAGTCGTGTCCCTGGGAGGAGGAGGCACTGCCACTACAAGCAAGGAGGGAGGCGGGTGCAGCACCCAGATGCCACCCTTGAGTGCCATTTGAGTCGATTCCCTCAGAAAGGCTCATGGGAGCACCGGCTGTGGTGTGTTAATCCACAAAGCTTCTATATTAGAGAATGGTGGGAAATAGTCCTGTTTTCTTCTATCAGCAATTATATGATATCTGCTCAGAGTGGCTGGGACAACCCAGTCGAATGGGTGGTGTATTACTATGGTTATGATTCTGTTTCATTTACACAGATACCTGATTTATGGGCTTTTCGCCTTGAAAACCCTTATCTTCCTGGGTCTGGTCATTGCAATTATCTGGATGCATAGAAGATACAATCAGAAGAGACCTTCAGCTGCCACACGGCAAGAAAATGCTGCACAGTAATCCCACAGTGACCAATGTAACTGTTGTTAAGCTTCTTTACATAATATATTGTTTTAGCTAATGCTGTTATAACTCCAGTATTCAAACTATTTGTGTCTTAATAGGCTTGATCTTCCCTAAAAAAGAGCAATAAAAGGTATGCCACAGGTTATTTAGATGCTTTCCTTTTAAGTGTGTTTTAAAAGATGTGGCCAATCTACTAGATTTGCAATCTCAATCATTTATCTGTAACTTGGACAACCCATCTGCAGCAAATTACAATGAGAGCTAGTTTTCATGGGCAAGTGCCACTTTTTGTAATTTTTATTGGAAACTAGGGAAGGGGGGATGTTTTCTGGCAAATTACCTGTGACCAATACAACAAATTACAATTCATTGACCTCTACAAACTGATGCAAAGAAAGACCCTCTGCATCTAACCCTTTAAAACACTTCCACAAGTTTCAGATCAGCGCCGAGTCCCTGAAGGATGTTGCAATCTCCATGGGAATTTGGTCTTGATTTGTTTACTTTGAACCCAACATTTATCATCGTTTGCAGTGAAGGCAAATGTCAACAAAGTTCCTTTTTTAAAAAAAACAAAAGAGTTGGATTTCATACTCATGAACGTCATATTGCCATCTCTTGGCCAACCAATTTTCTTTTCAGTGTCTCTTTCCTTCAAATTGAACAATAACAAAGCTGCAAACTGACACCAGTATACTTCAGTACATTACATTTTTCTTCTTCTGAGCTTTATTTCCAAATACTCACAGTTCTCAATTGCAAGGAATAATGTCCCTATGGGGTGTCTATTTTAAAAATCATTTACACGTTGTGCTCAAGATGGCTCTGAACCTTTTACAGGGTTGTAAAACAATGCAAAAGACCTTTAGGTCCCGCAGTGATTTTTTGTATTGTTGTATGGCAACAATAAATATATCTAAACATAACACTGCTAATAGAGCAGGGTCAAAAACCAGTGCGGGCTCCTATGAATCCAAACCACATGGCTCCATAACCTGAACAATGGATTGGTACACGTTTCCTTGTCTCTGGGCCTCAGAGAAGTAAACTCCCTACTCTTAGCCCTTCCTCACCGGCACATTAACGGCACTGAGGGACCTCTGGCCTCCTCCTCCAGACTTAAGGTTTTTTATTTTATTTTACGCAAAACATTTTATTTAACTCAAGAAAGGACAAGTGTAGTAAGCGGGACTATCACACACACACACACCGACCATTCCTCCTAGACACTGGCAGGACTTGGCCAGGAAGGGGGAGAAATCGCTAGTTGTTGCAAATCAGAAGCCAAACGGTAAAGCTGCCACCACCTCCTTTCCTGGACCACCCTCAAATGGGGTTCAAGGAGGGGAACCCCCCTTCGATATTTACTGGATTTGCCCAGCCCTGAATCACTTTACCGTGACGCAGACAGAAATTCAACAGGAAGGTGTCCAAACGGTAAGCACTAGTTTAGCTTCCCTGAGCAAAGGCACAGAGTACAAAATACAAAAAGTCCTTTTCCACATTTATTGAAAAGACCACTCGAAAAGTTGCACATCTCTTAGAAGGTTACAAACAAAAAATAAAAACATTGTAAAGTATGACTAGCTAAAACCATACTCACACAGCAACAGAGTCCTTTCACTGGTCAAACGCCCCCAGGTGAAGTACCAGGGCAAAATGTTCTGCCCTGTGCATCTGAATTCCCAAATCCTTTATCCTTGAAAACAGGTTAGGGACCAATCATTTCTTCAGGTTAATTACCAATTTACCAAGGGCTGTACCAATGGCTGTATACCTGCCCACCTGTGGGGAAAGGAGGGCAGATACTCCTGATTGTCAGGAGACCAGCACAGCTGAACTTTGTTTAGACTCAGAGACCTTAAGATCAAAAGGCTCTTCCTCCATTTGCAGGCCTCTCTTACATGTACCAGGCTCCTAAATTGTAAATTACTTGATAGCCTCCTGTGCCTTTTTACAACCCAATCCACACTCGGGGCCCCAGCTGTGCCAGGGTCTGCAAATCAGATAACATCTCATCCTGCCTAGAGTCAAGATGTACCAGTAATTGACTCACACTTCTAGAGACAGAGAGTTTTACGTTTAAAGAGACCAAACACCCATTCCACATAAGGCCACAATCTTATCTCTCCCACAATGCCTCACTCCTGCGTGAACCAGCGTTTGACACACCAAGATTTCCCAACTTCACTACAACAAGAGGATCTAATGAAGTTTTCTTTAAGAGCGGACACACCACTGCTTCCTTCAGCTCCCCTGGGAATGTCCCCGTGCCAAGGGACAAATTGATCATTTCAACCAGGGGGATCCATGCAATGTCTGGGTACGCTCTAATCAGCCAAGACGGGCACGGGTCAAGGGGGCAAGTGGTGGGCCTGGCAGCTCAGAGGAATCTATCCACATCAGCAGGGAGTATCCGATCGAAATGGTCCAACACTGGAGCCGAAGACAGTGTTTCAAACGGAATGTTTACCTTTATCTTTGTAGCTCTGTAAAGAAGAGGACTTGGGCAGGCCAGCTTTCAAGCAGGGCTCCTGTCACTGCCCCACAGACTCAAGGCATGGATGGGCAGGCCTGAGGATACTTCTTGCAAGTAGATCACAGTTTTATGCCCTGAAAACGCCCCCAAGGCACTGCATTCGGGGTATGAACTATGGAACACTAATCCTGCATTTCCAGTTTCTCAATGACTTGACCTCCTCATGGCCATGAGTTTCCACAGAATGACAAAGCACTATGTGAGGAGAAATTTCATCTTATTGCTCAAGAGCTCATCACCATCAGTTACCTCAGTTCCTGTGTGAAATACGCCTGCCATTTTGGAAAGTGCAAACAGCTCACCTGCAACAGTTGACACTATTCATCAATTATTTTTAGCCCCCTTCTTAGATATAGAAGAATTAGCAATAACTGAACAACCAGACCTTGCTCCCTCTATAAATATGAATGGCAAAGCACAACTGAGCATTCTGACGCCCTGTTTGTAACTACATGAGCACCTTGCTGTGTGCTGACAGTCAGAGTAATTTCCAACGATACCAACTATTTTCACAATGTAATGGGAATGTAGAAAATTGATGTCTCTGATAGTGCTTGAAAACTCATCGTTTCTATTTTGGAGAAGTTGAGCTCCTAGTCCTTATGGCTGAGGCAAAACTGCAAGTGGGGAAACCCAGCCAGATGGTCGGGTATTATTATTATTATTATTATTATTATTATTATTATTATTATTATTATTATTATTATTTCTTCCAGTTGCTGAGAAAAGAGGATGCTTAGTGGGGCTTTTGTTGGCCAATATCCTGCATATTCTAGCATTTTCTATAGTCCTCATCTCCACATCTCTCCCTACATAGGTCATTCACATAGGTCATTTTCCACACACGCTTTGTCAACTAAGCTGCAGTTTCCAGTATCTTTTTCATGGTCTGCCGTTCTTCGTTAACGGGATAATAATTTTGTGCTGCTCAATACCGTCAAGTCTGGCCTCCCTTCAGTTATATATTAAGTTCATTGGTGGTCCCAGAAGTGATTTCTCTCTCACGCACATCTGAAACGCATCCTACATATTTTTGACCTGGGTGCTTTATCGTTGCTTTAAAACTGCAGCCCAGCTGCCACATAATCTTTGCGTATGCAGAACTTTTTCATTAGCGAATGGTGGGAAATAGCTTTGTTTTCTTCTATTTTCTCTTCTGTTGCTGTGCTGCAGATATCTTATTTATAGGTACTTCCTGCTTCCGACCAGCTTGAAAACGCCCTTCTTCCTGTTTCTGGCTTTTTGCAATTATCTGGATGCATAGGAGACACAACCGGAAGAGAGCTTCAGCTCCCACACTTCCTGCCGCACAACTCACTTGTAACCACACCGTCTCTTTGTGTATCGCAGGGAATTAAACCGTATGATGGTGGGGGAACGGGGAGCAGAAAGCTCTCTAATGAGGTGACACCACCACGAGAGAACTTCGGCTACTGCATCAAACTGTCCACTGTGAGGACAGGATGTTGGACCTGACTAGCTCAGTTGGTTAGAGTGCAGCGCTGATAATGCCACGATTGCAAGTTCAATCCCCGTATGGGACAGCTGCATATTCCTGCCTTGCATGGAGTTGGACTAGACGATCCTCAGGATCCCTTCCAACTCTACAATTCTAAGACCAGATGGGCCACTGGCCTTCTGATTCAGTAGTGCTGTTTTCATGTTCTTATGGGAAAATACTGTGCATCTTGTCTTGCTTATCACAGCCCAGTTGTAACTACACTAGGTCATAGTATTGGTTAAAGTACTGTGTTTTGCGCCCCATAGGACGCTCCAGCCCATAGGATGCACCTAGTTTTTTGGGGGGGAAATTAAAAAAAAAATTATTTCCCCCCCAGGTGCGGGGCTGGAAGAACCAGGTCGGGGAACAGCAGGAAGGTGCCCCGCGCTCTGCTCCCGGTGGCCGCGCAGAGCTGCGCTGATCCTGGGACTGCAGGCAGCTCTGCGCGGCCATCCGGAGCGAGGCGGGACTTTGCGCCCGGCTCCCGGTGGCCGCGCAGAGCTGCGCTGAGCCGGGGACTGCAGGCAGCTCTGCGCAACCCTCGGAGCCGGTCTCCCGAGGGTTGCGCAGAGCTTCCTGAAGCCTGCATTCGCCCCATAGGATGCACACACATTTCCCCTTCATTTTTGGAGGGGGAAAAGTGTGTCCTATAGGGCGAAAAATACGGTAATTCCGGTCCACTGAAATGCATTTACATTATTCTCCTCAGCTAGCATGTGTGTTTCTTAATATAAAGGGGGGAGGGAATACACTAACCACAGCTGCTTGCATACTAAGGATTGCAGAACAGAATCTGTCCTTTTCCCCCATTTCTGAAGAAGGCTGAGCACTTCCGCTTTCAGGGGCGGGGGTTAAGTTATCGCCAGTGAGCTTTGAAGATTCTCTTTCCTGCCAGAAACTTGTGAGAGTATCTTGAGGCCTCTGGGAGAGATTGGCTACCCTTTACCTCCCTCCAACTTCAGCAGAGAAGAGAAGCAGAATCATGAGACCGTTGAGGGTGTTGTCTCTCCTGGGCTGGGTGCTAATTTCAGGTAAAGAAGAGAAAAATGCTACGTCAAGGCCACAGATCTTGAACCATAAGGAGGAAGTCTGCCAAAATGCATGGGATGTCACTACTGAAAGTCCAGAGACAGAAGACTCGAGAGACAAAGGGTGGAAAGCAAAAGGTAAACATGCTATTTCTGTCAATGCTTTCTGTTGCAAACTGGCATAGCAATCTTTTGCATGTGCATATACCCAAATAACTACTTTGGAATCTTACTGCGTATATGTAAGCATATGACCATATGACATGATGCCCTGATTTGTGGTTGGCTGCTGGCACAAGTTGCTGAATTGGTTGGCATGCCCATTTTCAAAAATTCCTTGTTTTTCCCGGTGAATTCGAAAAACTGTTTGGTGCCATCCTTAGGGGCAAAGAAGCTCACCTCAGAATACACTTGCGCATTACAAGACAAATGTTTCCAAACTTCAAAGCCAACATTACACTATGACAATTCTGAAATTTCCACAAGGTGCGAAAATATACTGGTAAATATCCGTGGTTGCAAAGAGTGTGTGTGTGTGTGTGTGTGTGTGTGTGTGTCACACACACACACACACTAAAGAGACTATCCAATAATACAATAATGCCCAAGACTAGCACCTCTGTACTAAATGATGCTGCCTGAACAACCTTTTCATTTTAATGCAGATACTTTGGTACCCTCTTACTAATATCCACAAGCTGGTTGCCCAAAGGTGCTTGGTGCAAAGGCCACTCACAGGAAAAGCAGGGCCAGAGCCTCTCACAGGGGCTATGGGGAGAAGAATTTTGTGAATGCTTGTTGCAGAGACGTGGAAAGAGTTGTCTTGTAATAAATGGCCTGGCTTTACTGCAGTGCTGCACACCTGTCAAGCACTGGACTGAGGAGGATTGGTGGAGACTGTCCCCCCTCCTCCTGCACTTCCCAGAGAAGAGGGAGACAGTATAGATTTTGAACAGTGGTTTGCAGAAGGTTACAGTTCAGAGGCTGCAGAGGGGAGAAGCTGGGAAATATTGGGAGAGGAGCAGGAGGGGGAGGAAGCATCACCAGGGGAGAGGCAGCTGACAGACTCAGTGTCTTTGGAAAGCATGCCAGACCCCCCCTCTCCCAGGTCCAGGTGGGCACTGCGAGTAGGAGAACAAAGCTCAGAGGCAGCGAGCACAGATCAGCTGATGACGTATAATAGGAGAGACGGAGGTGGTGGGACTTTACTCAGAGCAACGCCATTATCCAAGAGGCAGCATTATGCATATCTCTCTCTGTGAATATTGAATAAATTACCTTGGTAAGAACTTCTTGTTTTCCCCATTTCTGGCTGCCAGCAGTAAGGGAGGGGGATTGGATTCCCTGTAGCCTGACAACACCAGCAACATGGTGTCAACCTGATTGACTCCAATGAATGATTCTCTTTCTTTCCCCCAGAGACATGGCAACTGACTGGTCCAGTTGAAGTGCATGGATTTGAAGGGCAATCTCTCTCTTTGTGCTGCCATTATCAACAAACCTATGAAGATAACACTAAGAGCTGGTGCAAAATGAAAGAAGGCTTATTGTTAGATTCCTGCGAAACTTTAATATCATCAGATGGAAAGGTGAACATGGGCAGAGTCTCCCTCAGAGAGAATAAGAAAGAGCACTACTTTCAAGTGACCATGGACAATTTGCATCTGAATGATTCCGGTGTTTATCGCTGTGTTATAGATCGTCCATACCTTTTCAGTATCAGACACAGGGTGAACGTGACAGTTTCTCCAGGTAAATGCTCCTCCTCCTCCTCCTCCTCCTCTCCTTGTTTGTAATGATAGAAATGCAGGAATGAGGAAGTGGAGAAAGAAAAAAATCTCCAGAATGTCATTGAATAGATGAAATCCTTCTCTTCATGCAGTAAAATACAGAATGCTGTTGATACAGCAGAGGAACTATGACCACAATTTTTGTTGATTCTTTTTTGTTTTTTTGCCCTTTGCCCCCCCTCACCCCCCTCAGATCCAGAAGAAAAGTTATCATCTACAGAAACACCAGAATTTATCACCTACGTAGTAAAGTCTACCCACGGCCCAGATCCTACAGAGTGAGTATTTGGGTTCCTTTTCTATAACCTTGTGAGGGGCTTTCTATGTAGGCCCCACTTTTAATCTCCCCCTTTTGTCGCTGAAATATAAGATTTCTGCAGCTAATCTCTCCCAGATTAACTGGGGAATAGATGCCTGTGAATATTTGTCCGAAATATGGTATTTATACTGATGTAATGGACAGCAGATGTTTCCCACAGAGGAACCTGTGGTACTGGGCACTTTTGAGAATACCAGGTCTGAGGAAACTGCTACAACTCTTTGATTTTCATGTTGCTGCCTGGTGCTGTTGTTTGAACAGAAATTGGCTTTGGTTTTTACTATTCCATGCTTGCAGGGTTGGGAAAAACTTCTACTTCTATGACTTGCAGACTGATGGAGTAGAGCATTTTTGCAGCCCCCTGAAGGAACTTAGAAACTGGGACTGGCAATGCTTAATCTGCATGATCTGGTGTCTCTTGACAGTCCCTTCAGTATCTGCTCTTGCGGGGGTTATGTTTGCAAGAATTATGACTGAGCAACAACAACAACAAAAGGCACAACTATGTGTATGTCTAAAAGGGATGCGGGTGGCACTGTGGGTTAAACCACAGAGCCTAGGACTTGCTGATCAGAAGGTCGGCGGTTCGAATCCCCGCGACAGGGTGAGCTTCCCGTTGCTCGTTCCCTGCTCCTGCCAACGTAGCAGTTTGAAAGCACATCAAAGTGCAAGTAGATAAATAGGTACCGCTCCGGCGGGAAGGTAAACAGTGTTTCCGTGTGCTGCTCTGGTTCACCAGAAGTGGCTTATGCTGGCCACATGACCCGGAAGCTGTACGCCGGCTCCCTTGGCCAATAAAGCGAGATGAGCGCCGCAACCCCAGAGTCGGTCACGACTGGACCTAATGGTCAGGGGTCCCTTTACCTTTACGTGTATGTCTATAACCCAAGAGCCCACGTAAAAAACGTAAATCATTAAAATGCAAAAGGTTTGGTTAGCTAGAAATTTGTTTCCAAAACTTTCCGACTTACCATCAATTGCTGTGACGTCGAACGGGTGGGAGCCACCCACCACAAACCCCTTTCCAAGGCCATTAATTACAAGAGAAGCAATTCATAAATTAATTACAGTATTACCGTTAATGATGATGATGATCAGTAAGAAATTACATCATAAGGTACATGACTAAAACAAACTGTATCTCTTGGGGAATCATGTATATAATGTTACACTCTCCAATCTGATTGACTTTTGGGGGGTTTGCTCCCATTTTAACATCTCTGAAAAAGAGCAGTGCAGACCTCTGTGCACATTATCCATATCATCTTCTGTTTTCATCCTGAGTCAACATGACAATCTGGGCCAGTCCGGATGACAATGGTAATTTTGAAGGCGTTTCAATCACATCGAAATATTTGCTTGGATTCTTGTGAAAGAAAATCCCTTCCCTATGTATCATTTTTGGGGAGGGAGGAGGAATCAGAGATTGACAGCACAACCCTGTGCATGTCTAAGGTTGGAGTGAGTTCAGCGAGACTGACTCCCAAGTAGATATGCTGAAGAATCAAGAAAATAAACAAGTGGAACAAAGTTGCATATTATGTAAGAAGGATGTATTTTTAAAATGAAATGGCCATTGTTGAAATGGCTAATGGAAATATGTGACATTTGATATTCTATTCTTTTTCTTTTGCCAGGACCCCCCCAGAATCAAAGCTCTACATTTTGATATATAGTATCATTCCACTATTTATTCTTGTCTTACTTGCAACTGTGGTGCTGCTTGTGATGTCAAGGAAGACGAAAACAGGTCAGAGCGATGCTGTATTCTTTGTTTATTCCTGAGCACGCTTCCTTCCTACTTGAAGTTTATTCCGCATAAACCTAACACAAGAGCTCTGTTAAACAATTCACCTCTGAATGTCACCTGTTTGTAAAACTAAGAGGCAACAATCTTCTGCACACATACTATATTTTTCTGTGTATAAGACTAGGGTTTTCCCCTAAAAAATAATGTCCAAAATTTGGGGGTGTCTTAAACACAGATAGATCTCCCCCCTCATTTTCTTAAATTTGAGTCCCCAAAAATAGATGGAAAAATATGGTACTTAGGAGTAAGCTTCATTGGACACAGGAGAACCTGCTTCCAAGTAAACATGCATCAGTCTACAGAGCCTCCAACTGGGGGTGGGGGAAACCACATAACAGTGGGAGGTATTCAACTAAATTTTCATGCTGGTGACATGGGACTCCTCTTCCACCACTGGTCCCCCTTGCTGCCCCAAAATCTGTTCTGGAAGAGTGGAGGGAAGCCCCAGAACAGATAGGGCATGTGCAGTGGGAGAATGTTCTGTTGCACAAAGATAAATACTTGTACTGATGGAGTCTTTAGAACTAGCTTAGATACAACCCATTGAGAGGGTGCAATATGAAGAAAGGAGAGACTCAGACAAATATTAAGGCCCAAGCTTCTTGGAATCTTAAGAGGGGCCTGAGTGACAGGGAGCAAACTGAGAAGCCACATGGCTGGCAGTAGTGATTAGCAATATTTCAGGCTCTGTGGTCGTAGGGCTGCAAATATATGTGCACTTACCTTGGAATAAGCCCACTGAACTCAATGGGACTTGCTTCTGAGTACATAGGCCTAAGATTATTTGTTTGTTTGTTTATTATTTATATACCACCCTTCATCCAAAGATCTCAGGGAGGTTCATAAAATAAAAGCACAGGATAAAAGCACAGAATAAATATTCAGTATCCAGGTGTAATTCCAGTACGGAATTTCAGTCAAGCAGATTTTTCTTACCACCTAACCTGTTGTTTCAGTTGCTTAGTTTGACCTGCCTGATTTCCAATTGATGCATCCATTTCAGAATCACATTTTCAGAGAAAAGAGGAGCTAAGTCTACCAGAAAGGGTAAGGCAAAAATCTCACATCACTCCATGATAAGATTTTTTATTAATATTATTATAAAATAAATATTTATATACCACTATGTCATGAAAAATACATGAAAGTCGTTTGCCGCAATATACAAGGCACATTAATGCAATCACAATAAGTAGCACCAGAACAGTCTAAAATTCTTATTTCTGAGAAGTGGAATAGTAGTACTGAGGAGCAATGAGGAAGATCTTCAGATGTGGTGAAAGTCAGTCTTAAAATACCACAATGTGGTCTCACAGCTGTGGGTTAACCAGCCTCATATACCAAACAAGCTTAAGTCTACTTAATATGTGAAGGGGTTAATAGCATAGAGCAGAGTTTTCCAACCTGTGTCGCGTCGGCTACAGTGTATCACGCGAATACTCCCTGTGCTCCTCCCAGGGCTGGAAAGGGGTGAGTCTAACCTCCGGTTTGCTAATGAAACTCAATTACTGTGTTGCAAAATGATACATGTCTAAAAAGTGTGTCACCAACATGAAAAGTTTTGAAAGCTCCGTCATAGAGTAAGTAAGCTGTCCTACCAGCCTTAGCCAAGTCTACTTCCCCCTTGGGAGGAACTATAAGTCTTTGTTCCCTCCCCGGTCTACCTGAGAAGCTCAACATGTGAAGAGGTTCTGAGCTGGTTGCTCCAGCTCCACCTGCATGGCTCTCATCAGCCATTCCTGATAACTTTCACCACTTTGGAACTAAACTAAATTTAGCCTGCACAACTTTTTCTGAACGCTGTATGGGTAGGCACATGAATCAGACCTTTGAACAGTTTGTAAGTAAGCAAATGTTTAACTTACCAAACATGTGTTCTTTTCCTATGCTGGGGGAAGAGGGAACTCACAAGGGCATATTTTAAAGGTCTAACCATTTATATTTCCATGCTGCATATTTTTTGATTTTAACTCTCTGCTGGCACTCAGGAATTCTCCTTTATATACCTCTTTTTCCTTGACCACCAGCAACAGTGCATCTGCTAATACAGCCAAGATTTCAGCATACATTAGGCCTCATTCTTGAAAAGTTTGTTCTTGGTGGCATGTTTGCATTCTGGCTCCCTGGCAGAAATCTTATCGAGTACCAAGTTAGGGCCATTTCAGATGAGTACAAAGCTCCCTTTCTGTGGCTTGTTTTCAAAACTGCGTTTACTTCCCCTCTCACAGATGCCTACCCACAATACTGAAGATACTCAGAATGAGAACACCATTTCTGACCAGCCCCCAGACCATAATGGGGCGGGACTCTACAGGATTGTTAAGGTCCTTCCTGAAAATGACTATGAAGAGATTCACTCCCAGGAAAAGGTAGGAAGAAAATGAGTGCTGTAACCAGCATCCTTATCTGTTTGCGCCAGTATGGGCCTTCGGTCTCATTCAGCAGGGCCCTTATGCCATCTTACCTACAGGCTGCCTGAGGCTTGTTAGCATTTCTAATCTAATTCTTTTTCAGACTCCAGAGGAGCAAGATGAGGTGTCTTATGCCAGACTGGATATTTCAGATCATCATGGTCACATCTACGACAACATAAATCTCTCCAGGCCAGCCCACCCAGAGACACCTGCTCAGGAGGTCTTTTATACAGAGGTGAAGCCTGACCATTAAAAATATATATATATATATATATATATATATATATATATATATATATATCCAAAAGTGTTTCTCTCAGTGCACTGTCATGTGGGTTTTGTTATCCAGGCTCCAGACCACTTCTCTAGCTCAGAGACCCTTCCCCTTTAAAAGAGTAACTTGCAATAAAATGAGGTTGAATCACTGCTCTGCTTCAACAAAACCAGCTGCTGGGAAACTGGAAAGTGACAGCAGATCCTACTCTTACAGTAAAAGGAAAATGATGGATCTGCATTAGCTGCAACCACATACAGTGAGAAAGCATATGCCAGAGAGGTAAATATAATTTGAGCAGGGAGGGAGGCTTTAATGTACCTTAATGCATGACTATATTCTGTTTATTTGCAGAATACCTTCCCCAGAAAGATTTGCCTACTGCAGCAATTTGGGCACCAGGTGTTTTTTATCCCAGGCCTTTTAATTTCAATTATATGCTTTAGTAGTGTATTAGGTCTGGCCCCAAATTGATTACTTTTTGCTGGGTGTGGTGGTGTTTTCCAGCTAGTGCTTATACAGTGGTACCTCTGGTTACGTACTTAATTCATTCCAGAGGTCCATTCTTAACCTGAAACTGTTCTTAACCTGAAGCACCACTTTAGCTAATGGGGCCTCCCGCTGCTGCCGCGCCGCGGCCTGCGCGATTTCTGTTCTCATCCTGAAGCAAAGTTCTTAACCCGAGGTACTATTTCTGGGTTAGCGGAGTCTGTAACCTGAAGCGTCTGTAACCTGAAGTGTATGTAACCCAAGGTACCACTGTATTTATTATATACTGGTTTTGATATTTTTATGTCGGTTTCTGAGTTATTTGTATTGAGGTTATTTAACTGACCCAAATGCGTTTTTGTATTTGATCGCCTTCTGTATGCCACCCAGAGGACATTGTTCAATCAGCTGTTCAGAAAACTGAGAATAAAACAATAACAATAATCTGTATCCTAGAACTTGAATCTGCAGCATTAATTATAGGCTCTCCCGTTTAAAAAGAAACGCATTTCTGCTTCTTGTGGCTACACAGCAAAGTTTGACACGGAGAAGCTTGGAAATCAACAAAGGACCTTGGGCAGGAGTTCTGGTAGTCAAAAGGAAAATATTATAGAAAGTCCAGTTGGGTGATAGGTAACCATCTGAAAATCTGCCATCAGCTTAACTCATGAGATGCCCACAAGTGCTGAAGAAATGCGCTCTGTGAATAGGCCTGCTCAGATATATTCTCACACACTTTGCCACTGGAAAACCAGAGGCGATGTTTTATTCCGTCTGCCTTGCCTTGATTCTGCTCTCGCAATCCAAAAAGAAAGAAGTCGTCTCAGTAGATTTTGAAGGATTGGAGCATATACTCTTTCTGGGCATCAGAGACCTTATCAAGTGACTCCAAGGCTTTGGAACATTCTCTGCGAAGGAAGAGGGAGAGCCAAGGAGAATGCAAAAGAAAAGGAAGGTGAGCAAAGACTCCCTTTGGGGGAACGCCATATTTTTGAATCCGTTAATAGGATTATCCTGCCAGTTAGTAAATTACCTACCCCCAGAGAAAACTCTGCCCCCCCCCACACTTTCTCCCCCTTTTGCAATGTTCACATGCTGCGGTAGCATTTTGCATGGGAAACCTGATGCTGAACTAAGAATCCCCATGTCAGGAATTCAAGTGCCCAGTTCCAGGAACCCAAGAGACACATTTTTAGCACACTCCATTTGCACCTGGTTATCCCCACCACATCCACACATATAAATTCTCTATAAGCTAGGTCGCTTTCAAACCAGCTATGACTCCAGCTTGCAATGGGCATTGAACTGGCAGCCTGAGGGACATCAGGCAGGGACTCGGCCTGCGTCTACCACCAGCCAGCTCAACCCAAAGGAGGAAACTGCAGGAAGGACCAGACAAGGAAACCTCTGTTCAACAAGATGTGCAGGCAGCTGAGGATGCTTCCTGGCTTATAAGAGGCTCCCTGATCAAGCTTGCCGAAGGTTCTGAGCAACTAAGAAACCTACTCTAGCTGGTTACAGACTGCCTCTGCTTCAACTTTGACTTTACAGGGGCTGCTTCTGGGATTTTTACCCCTCACCACTTATTCCCTTGTCCCTGCCTCTTAGGAGATTGCTGCTCTGATATGGCCTTCAAACAGACCTTCTGCTCCCAGGGAGTTGCATCAGGCATGGCTTTTACTTTATTGTGCACCCCTTAACATGCATCATAGGGATGTGGGCGGTGCTGTGGTCTAAACCACAGAGCCCTAAGGCTTGCTGATCGGAAGGTTGGCGGTTTGAATCCCCGCAATGGGGTGAGCTCCCGTTGTTCGATCCCAGCTTCTGCCAACCTAGCAGTTCGAAAGCACATCAAAGTGCAAGTAGATAAATAGGCGGGAAGGTAAACGACGTTTCCATGCGCTGCTCTGGTTTGCCAGAAGTGGCTTAGTCATGCTGGCCACATGACCCGGAAGCTGTACGCCAGCTCCCTTGGCCAATAAAGCGAGATGAGCGCCGCAACCCCAGAGTCGTCCGCAACTAGACCTAATGGTCAGGGGTACCTTTACCTTTAATGTGCATCATACCTGGCGAGAATCCCTTGTGTCTGTGCTTTCTTCACAAGGCTCTTCCTCACATGCATGTTGTCCATCCCCAGAGTGGAAAATGCCCTGACAACCTGCGAGGAGTATGTAGGGAGATACCCAATTTACTGATCATCAAAAGAGACACAGGCAAGCAGCACAGAAGGTTCCATCCTACAGGCCTCTGAGCTGCCCTGGTACCAACCTGTATGCGGACATCCTCACAGGTGTCTAGCTCCAGCATTTCCAACATGGCAAAGAACAAACTCTTATTGCGAATGCCAAGGACACCCTAGTGAGAGGCAGAGGGTATAAAGCAAATATATAAAGCAAAACAAGATGCAGAAAAGGTTCCAATTTTCAAATTCGCATTTTATTCTTTTTTTTAAAAAAATTATACTTTTCAGATATATACATTTCACTGATTTTACAATCATTTTGCCATTTAAAATCTTGACTGCCTTCCCCCTCTTTCTGCGGTTCCTTTATTTTTAATATCTTCTGCATATCCAAATTAACTTACTCATTTATTTATCTTATTTAAATATATATTTTATTCTTAATGGTGTGCCACAACATTTAATCTGGCCATCTTTCATGATCAGAGAGCACTTTTCTTCTCACAGTAATAGATGGACACATGTATTATTATTTATTATTTATTGAATTTTTTTGAATTTATATACTGCCCCATACCCGGAGGTCTCAGTACCACATGTATCTGTGGAGCTTTGTTTCCCTAAGCAAATCTACACACAAATGTATAAGCTACAAACAGGAAGAGTTAAGGGTAAACAAACAAAAATTAAATATGTGCAAGACAGAACTGCTATTGGCCAGGAAGACTACCATTCCATTGGATAGGATGTCAACCTAAAAACCTGGGAGTACTCCTGGACCACACCTTGTTATAAGATACTTTGGCCCAATAGTGTTTTGTCCAGCTTCAGCTGGCACTCCAGTGGGGCTCATTCCTGGTACAGTCAGACTGGCTGATTCTAACTGTGCAGCCTGAATTCGTTGCTATGTGCTTGAATACCAAAAATTGTGACAGTCTGGAAGTGCCTATATGTCTTGTAAGTATTTCTGAAGGTTCTCAAGAGCTTTAGGCCCAATAATTTATTGGGAAAGGCAGACCCAGCCACATTCACATACCTTGGCCATACAACTCACTTCCAAATTAGATGACTTCCAAATGCTCTGAGTTCCTGCCCATGAAAAGTGTTCAGAAACCTCAGGTGGTGCAAAACGTAGCTGTCAAGAAGGTTGGCTGACGTCAGTTTTGCAGAGTATATTACACTCTGGTGTTATGTGAGTTGCTCCAAGATTTGATGTTTTTGTTGGTGGGTGTTGGTTGGTGATTCTAGGCACAATTCAAAGTTCTGGTTATTAACAACAAAGCCCGAAATGGCTTGAGACCAGGAATTTCTGAGTTTGCATATGTTCATCACTGGAGACCATGTTCTGCGCCCCTTTGCCTTCAGAGCAGCCTTCCCCAGCCTGACGCCTTCCAGGTTTCTGGGCTACATACAACTCCCGTCAGGTCCAGCCAATAGTCAGGAGTGGTGAGAATTGCAGTGTAAACCAGCTGGAAGGCACTGGGTTGGGGAAAGGTGATTCAGAGACTTGGCTGCCTGGGGCATGTGGGGCTTAGGAATGTGATGGTTATGGACTTTCCTCCCTTGGGAAGTCCAGCCAGTCTTTCACCTTGGCCTTCAGGTGAGTAGTGAAGACATTCTGGGGCTCTGGAATTGTCGTAACAGTTTAATCCCAAAGGCAAGCATGCAACCTACTTTGGGCAATATCTGATTTGTGTCTCTTCGCTGTTGGAAGTCAGTAGTGTGGGGAGGGGGAGGTGATTTTTGGCAATCCCCCTGGAAGGTTCGAAATCCTCTCCTGCGAATGGGGGATGCAATGGGGGAGAGGAGGAATTGCTGGAAACAGCCTTCCTTCTTATTCAGCTGGTGGATATCTTCCATCAGCAGAGTTTATCCAGTTGAGCACCAATCTATGTATCCTTGCAGACAGTGCTTTTGCCCCCTAGAAAAATAGGTGCCAGCGTTCACCATGAAGTTGTTAGAGTAAGTGCCACACTTTTTAACAACAACAAAAAGAGGCGCCCGTATTGCGTACCCTTGAGTACCCCCTGAAAAAAGCACTGCTTGCATCATAATAATAATAATATTAATAATGCACATTTTGTGATTGCAAGCTGACAGCTCCAAGGCTATGTGACTAAACATGAAGTGTGACTTACTAATGCAATCACAGCCTTCTTTCGGATCTCATCTTTGTCATCCCTTAGCTGCCTATGGACAAAAAAGGAGGCATTTGCTGACATTTCAGAGGAGAAGAAAAATGTTCATATCCATGAGATCCACCCCCCAAAAAAAGAGATATTGGTTCCACTGTGATATTATTTCTCAACAATTTGAAAGAACCCTTTTCAAATATGCCCTTCTCAGTTCAACCAAAGCGATATCCTCCTGATGCAAACTTCCCATACCTGGATGAGAGATGCCAGAGAACAAGACTGCAGTTCAAAGTGCACTTATTTGGGAATGAATTAGTGAGGTTTCGTTCTCAGTAAACATGCGTAGGATCAGGTTACAAGGCTGTGTACAGATGGATGTTTGGGGGGGGGGTTTGGGGCGAGGGACAACAGCAACAAGTGTCCTATTTCATGGTTTCCTTTGCACTAGCCTTGAATCAACTTAATCTCAGGGTCTTGGGTTCGAGCCCTATGTTGGGCAAAAAGATTCCCGCATTGCAGGGGGTTGGACTAGATGACCCTGATGGTCCCTTCCAGCTCTATGATTCTGATCCTGTGAACAGCAGTAGTTTACAGTGCAATCCTCGCCATGGGCTTGTTCACACTTCTGCTTGTGCCATGCCTAGAAAGCATGGGTTCCGAGCAGTTTTCCCCTTGCCCTTCTCCTTTCCCAGGGAAAACCCACTCTTTAACAATAGGTGGGAACAAATGACAATCTGGGGGAAACCCAAATTGCTGCCTGCTCCAGTTGAGCACTAAAAAGCAGGGGAGGGAAGCAGCTGAGACACAAGAGGAAGTGTGGATAAGCCACATGCCTGCTCAGATGTAAATCCTATTGAATTCAATGTGGCTTAATCCTAAATATGTGGGGTTAAGACAGCAACCCCAGTAACTCTGCAAATATAATGGGTGAGGCCAGAGCCTTGTTGCTGGCCTAAAGAGTCCTGTTTGATCTGTTTGGTTTTTTCCCCTAATTCCGCATTGCAGCAGTCTCTTCCCATGGAGCAAAGATGACTAGATTGCAAGTAGCCTCTGGCCTAGTATATTTCAATCCCTAACAGAAAAATCAGTACTTCCCCTCCTCTATTTTTAATTTGCCTCAGGAGCACATATGTGGCAAACCACCCATCCTTTCACAGAGCTTCACTATATGGCAAAATCACACATTGCAATACAGTGGTACTTCGGGTTACAGACGCTTCAGGTTACAGACTCCGCTAACCCAGAAATAGTACCTCGGGTTAAGAACTTTGCTTCAGAATGAGAACAGATATTGTGCAGTTGCAGTGCGGCGGCAGCAGGAGGCCCCATTAGCTAAAGTGGTACCTCAGAACAGTTTCAGATTAAGAACGGACCTCCAGAACGAATTAAGTTCTTAACCTGAGGTACTACTGTAAACCTATTTTCTTAAAAGCATGTTTGAGCTGAAAAAGCAGCCACGGGACTCCAATCCGGAATATGTTATGTAACTAGAGTGCAGGTTCACACCAATGTCTTGCCAAATTTCATGTGTCATGGGTTGAAAGGAAGTTGAATGTAGCCATCACTCTTCCTGCAGTTCGGCAGATGTGGTGGGATTTCTGTAGGCGGGTTGTGAGGTTCCCCTCCACCACTTCAGTTCTGTGCAAGTAAGCCTCAGGACCAGTCTGTTTAATAAATGTGCTCTAGGAGTCTGCTGTGATGCATGGTTAACACAAGAGGTTATAAGATGCAAAAGGGAGCTTGGGACAGTATACCTGAAGGAGCATCTCCACCCCCCTCGTTCAGCCCAGACACTGAGGTCCAGCTCCGAGGGCTTTATGGCGGTTCCCTTACTACAAGAAGTGAAGTTATATGGAACCAGGCAGAAGGCCTTATCAGTAGTGACGCCCGCACTGTGATACGCTCTCCCATCAGATGTCAAGAGAATAAACAACTATCTGACATTTAGAAGACATCTGAAGGCAGCCCTGTTTAGGGAAGTTTTTAATGTTTGAAGTTTTATTCTGTTTTAATATTCTGTTGGGAGCTGCCCAGAGTGGCTGGGGAAACCCAGCTGGATGATCATGGTATAAATATCATCATCACCATCACCATCATCATCATCATCTGCTGCAATATTCAGATCATGCTTCAGTAGGGTAGTTTTGGCTTTTTTTTCTAGATTAAAGCACTACAAAAAGCTGCTAAACTAGTTTGAGCAGAGACCACAGTGGGTCAAGATTTATTTATTTTTTTAAAAAAAGAGTGTATGCTGAAGAAACGATAGCTCTACAATATTGTTTAAACCAGTGTTTCCCAACCTTTTTTGGGCAAAGGCACACTTGTTTCATGAAAAAAATCTCGAGGCACACCACCATGCCAGATGGGGAAAGGTCACTTTTTACTTATGTAAAAAAAAATAAAAAAATAGTAACAGCATAGAAGGTAATGGTTAGGCTAGCATCCCTCTTCCAAATATGCTAGGTTTTTATTTGCAGGGACTGTTCTACATGGGAAAGCATTCAGCACTGTCATTCTCCCATCTGCCATCTGAATTGGTACTATTCTGCGTCAACTTACTCTGCTGCATGTGTAGATGAAAATGGCACCAAGTGTGGGGGAGGGGGCAGAACAGGTTTCAGATACATAGACAGAAGCTGGCTCTAAGATCTGCCTGCCATTGCACTCTGAGGTGTGAATCCTATGGAACGAAGCAAACCCACTTATATTCTTACATACGGTCCTTTTAATGCACAAGGTAACAAAATATGTTAACTTGCTCCAGCAGTTTTATGTTGTAACATACTGAAAAGACTGTCGAAGTCTCGTGCTCACCCAGCCTTCGCCAGCCCTGCGCCCTCCGGATGTTTCGGGCTACCAGCCACGCTCCCCTCAGTCTCAACCTAATATCCCCAAGTGTTTCATATTTACTAGGAAATAACTCCCGCTGGTACAACGGAACTTCCTCCCAAGCAAGTCCATCTCTCGGTTTACATCCACGAGCTCGGGGCTGCGGCGTCCAGGAGGCGACAGCCCCGCCCAATGGCCCCGAGGGGACCCCGGAAGGGAGGCTTCGGCGCGGCGGCGGCCCCTGCGCGTTTCGCCTCAGGCTCCGCGGGGGCGGCAGCGACAGGCTGCGCGGCTCCTCCTCGGGTCGCTAGGCGGAGCCAGAGCAGCGCTGGAGGGCAGCGGAAAGGGCGGGTCCGTCGCTATAGAGACGCCCGCTTGGGTGGCGCTCGAGGTGGCTCCGCCTGGCCCGCGAGTCCTGCGAAGCGCTCTTCCCCGGGGCCTGTGGCGCAGGCGCAGAGCGGCGTGGCGGAGGGCCGCTTCCCTCCCCCGCCCGGAGCGGCATTTAAAGGGGAAGTGGCCCCTTTCCCGCAGCCGGCCTCCTCCGTCGTCGGCGCCCGGCTCTCCTATGGCCTGGCCCGGGGCGCGAAGAGTGGCAGTCGGGGCCGGGGGGCCATGGCTGCTCCCGGGGCGTCGCGCTTCCTCTATGAGCTGCCCACCGCCCCGCCTCTCGCCGCCCGACTCGCCCGACTCCCTCCAGGCAACATCTCGCGGCACACCAGGCAACGTCTGGCGGCACACTAGTGTGCCGCGGAACACCGGTTGGGAAACACTGGTTTAAACCACTTTGCGGCCTACTCCAGCAGCTCAGCCAAGGATTTTTGTTTCCCAGAAAAGCCAGTGGTCTGCACAATCCATGCCTCTCCTCCTTCAGGGAGATTCCTCCTCTGACTCTGAATGAGACTCGCTCTGTCTCTTAGCATCTACCTCTCCTTCCCAGGGGCGGGGGAAGGGGGTGCGGTGTGGGCGGGCTGCCCTGGGTGTTACCACTGAGGGGGGTGACAGAATGCCGGGTGACACTCACTCCGGGGCCTGCAGCACGCCAGAGCCACGCGTCTCTCCTGGGAGTAACGCGGTGGCTTGGGTGCCCACAGGCTCCGTGCTGCCCCAAACAGTCCACTCGCTGCCTCCCCCTCAGTGGTAGGGCGGCTGAGTGGGAGGAACCAGACAGACTGCTCAGAGGCCCCGGAGACTGTCCTGCCCAAGATCGGCTGGCCCCGCCCCTGGGCACAGGGCATGTGCGCCGTCCCAGGCGCCCTCTCGGCTTGCTCCGCCGCTGCTCCTTCCCACTAGGAATTTCCTTTAAAGGTGTATAAGTCCTGCAGTAACTTTGTTATAATATTTTTTTAAAAACTCTCTAATAATCCTCTGTATGCAGCTTAAGACAATACAAGATTTCATGAGCCTTAAGAATGTGGATTTTAGTCCATGAAATTATGGTTCAAATGCTGGGTTCTGTAAAGTGTGTGGGCAGGTGCAGCCCTATAGCTCCTTTTGCACCCAGGTTGCATACACACAATACAATTAAAGCACCCCCTTCCAGAATCCTGGGAACTGTAGTTTAGTACATGGAGAGCTACAATTTCCAGAACCCTTAACAAAAAGCCAGTTCCCGGGGGTTTTGGGAGGGGGAAAATGTACTTTTACGGGGTGAACACAGCCTCACACCAGGTGGCACTTTCTGCAGTTTGACCCCTGCAGTTGAGAAGTGTGGAAGTTGCAGCCACCTTTAGGGTCTCTCTCACTGAAGGAAAAAAATGGAATATACATTGAATCGTTGCCTTATCTTGCAGCTTACTTCTCCACTATGTCCCAGACTCGCTTCTTTATGTTCAGTTCTTCAACAGTTGAGGCAACAGCCTGCCTCACAACCTGGGTGAAGGATGAGACACAAACCTCATATTGGCATCTAGGAATTCTGCTTTTATACCTATTGTTTCCTTGAACCAACACCATTAACCATAGTTTCTCAGTTTGAATTCTGTGGATAACTCAGGCTGTGTACACATTGCTGTTTACTTCAACCCCAGTGTGCTCCCACCACTGGTATTTGAAGCAGAGTACACATTATGTTAGCCACAATCCATATGTATCTTGTAGTTTCTTGAGAAATACTTGTGCGTGATGCACTTGCCCTCAAACTAGCTTCCATATGATTAAAAAACATAAGCTGGGGTGTATACATTTTGGACATCCGTTGCTTAGGCACAGGTGGCATCTGAATGGAACAGGACATGATGGAGAACTACAGAATTTGGGTGTTTTAAAAGGCAAGGCAGAACTGTACTATAAAGCCTAGTTCGCAAAACTGAAAAACCAAAGGGACAGCTTTGAAAAGTTCAACATCACCAGAAAAGGTTCCTCAGACAACTTCTCCAGAAGCACATTGAACACTTCCTCCTCCAAGCCTTCCTCTTGGATGATTTCGAGCCCTATGGTGGCCAGCAGTCTTGCAGCGTCAACGCGATGCTGAGGGTAAAGAGGCAAAAAAGAGAACATAAACTATCCATTTAACAAACGCCATGTGCTTGTGATATTTCAACAGACTGTCCCTTCAACCTGCTCTTCATTCTGCCCCAGTAGGATTGCCACTCTTTCTTCCACTATTCACCAGTCCCCACCACTTCTTTTCTAGTTATGTTTTACTGATTTTCAAAGCTTACAAAACCTGTTACAACACAAAGAAGAAGAAGAAACTTAAAGAGGTAAACAAAATAAACGTCATAGGATATAGGTAAAGCTAAAAGCTTTGGTTCAGGATGCTGGTCCAAAGACATGCGTCGTCAAAGACAGGCAAGATCCATGTTAGGTAAAGGTAAAGGGTCCAGTCCATTAGGTCCAGTCGTGACCGACTCTGGGGTTGCGGCGCTCATCTCGCTTTATTGGCCGAGGGAGCCGGCGTACAGCTTCCGCGTCATGTGGCCAGCATGACTAAGCTGCTTCTGGCAAACCAGAGCAGCGCACGGAAATGCCGTTTACCTTCCCGCCGGAGTGGTACCTATTTATCTACTCGCACTTTGACGTGCTTTCAAACTGCTAGGTTGGCAGGAGCAGGGACCGAGCAACGGGAGCTCACCCTGTTGCAGGGATTCGAACCGCCGACCTTCTGATCGGCAAGTCCTAGGCTCTGTGGTTTAACCCACAGCGCCATCCACGTCCCTAAGATTCATGTTACTTTGTGCTTATATAAGAAATAAAAATCTGCTTTCTTATTTATGTTTTCCTTCTAGCCCATTAACTCTAAAGACAGTTTCCCCACACCACCTCTTCTTCTCAAGCTGCATCCGCAACACAGACAAAACTTTTAAACTACTGAGAACATGAACGAATGGAACAATGGAAAAAGGGAAATCCAGTGGTAGGAAGTCCTTGAAAAAAATAATACAATACTTGTAACCCAATCACATGCATATTGTTCTAAGAAACAAACCTGATTGTTCTCATAAACAAATCTCTAATTGAGGCTGCATAAAGATGGTGGCCTTAGCTGATTTCTGCACTTTGCATAGATCACAATTCTTGCGGCATCAAATGCAAACCCTTGATTCAATCATGTATCTTGGGCTGTTCCCATAACATTCTAGGAAGGTGATTTCAAGTTCAGCGGGGATTCTCTTAGGCTAAATATGCCCCTTTGTTGTTGTTGTTTAAAAAGGAAATCATGTTCAAGGAGTTCTGGGAGAAGCACTAGCCTAAAGAACTGGAGAATGAAAACATGCTTGGTGCCTTGGACAAAACCTCATGTACTAACAGCAAGTGAAGTTGCACAGATCCCATTATAACAGCAGCAGCAAGGCTTCTAGATGTAGAACTGAGCAGTTTCTGGAAAAATAGAGGCATGGTGTCTCAGGGTTGAGAACTCTGTGGCATCCCTCCAGATGTTTTTAGACTACAGCTGCCGTAATCCTTGACCATTGGTCGTGCTGTTGAGGCTGATGGGAGCTGAACATCTGGAGGGCCAACCGTTCCCCATCTCTGGTTTAAATCTGCCTCAAACTGACATTCTAGCAGCCCCCACAAGGGTAGTGATGTTAGTATGTTGTAGCAAAAACCATAAGGTCTTGTAACTTAACTTAGAAACTAACACATGTGTTATGGATGAAGTAGACTCTAGCCCAGAAAAGCTTGTGCTTTATATATATCGTGATATTTTTGTTAGCTTTGAGGGGCTACAAGACTCCTTGTTGCTTTTGTGATAGCAGCAGCATTGCCCTTATCCCCTGACATTTCAGTAGAGATAACACACACATTTCTGAGGCCATTCCATTGAGTTTATTACTTCAAATGATCCAGAACTGTGCAGGAAAAACAAGTTCCAGACATAATCCCTGAAGCATAGACCCTTGGGAAGGGTTCCCATTGAACCCACAGCAGGGGTAGGCAACCTAAGGCCCATGGGCCGGATGCGGCCCAATCACCTTCTCAATCCGGCCCACGGACAGTCTGGGAATCAGCGTGTTTTTACATGAGTAGAATGTGTCTTTTTATTTAAAATGCATCTCTGGGTTATTTCTGGGGCATAGGAATTCGTTCATATTTTTCCCCCAAAATATAGTCAGGCCCACCACATAGTCTGAGGGACGGTAGACCGGCCCATGGCTGAAAAAAGGTTGCTGACCCCTGACCCACAGGAACTTATTTCTGAGTAAATATAGATAAATAGAAACATTTTGTAGGATAGCTAAACAGAGAGAAGCTCAGACAAATCTATATACCAGCAAAGGACCTATTCAGCCAAATTAATGCATGAAAAAGCATGTAGAGAGAAAATAGTGAGCAAATTTTTTGATCCATGGACGAACGAAAGAGTGGGAGGGAAATTCAGCCAAAATTGAGATACTGGCTCAATATGCCACAGAAAGGGTTCTACAGAACAAAATTTGCTCACCTTGTACAAAGGAGAACGCTGAAGCTGGTCAATAACAGTTTTGATAACTACAGGGTCCACTATGGCCATTTGCTTTACCAGCATGACCAAAGCCTAGAAGAGGAAGACATGGATGGAGAGAGATCATGTGTTCAAAGTGGGGTAAGGTGTGTGGAGAGGAAGACAATTTGGGCTTCATGCCAAGAAGTCTCATTTAACTAAATAATATTAAAGGTAGCATTAAAATAATACGACAGTCCCTGAACCTGAACTCCTGACAAACTGTAGGAAAGGAGATCCCAAAACAACTTAATGCAATTGCCCAACTTTTCTCCCAACGGTGTATTAGGAATATGATCTTCTACAGTTTAAATCCTTTCAACTGAATCCTAAAGTTGTGTCTTTTTCTTCTTGCCTTTTCTTTAGAAAAACAAACAAACCAGGTTTTAAAAAGTAAGCTTCTAGCTTCCATGGAGAATGTGCAAATGTACAAACAAATGATATACGGTCAATGAGGTATTAGAAAAAGCTTCACCATAGCTCTACAGCAGTGTTTCCCAAACTTGGGTCTCCAGCTTTTTTTTCAGTCTACAATTCCCATCATCCCTGACCACTGATCTTGCTTGCTAGGGATGATGGGAGTTGTAGTCCACAAACAGCTGGAGACCCAGGGCTGGGAAACACTGCTCTACAGCCTAGATCTGATTCTCTCCTCTCACACCGACTCCTGTGCCACAGCTGCTTTTATCTCTGTTGCTGTAGTTTAAGGGAGATTGAGCCCCGTGTCTCCCAATGCCTTGACTAGTTCAGTTTGCGCAAAGGTCTTCATCCACTATTGGGTGCAGCCACAGTACAGATCTGAGCTAAATGTTCTTGATTATGGCTATTCCTATGCATAGCAGATTTCTCCCATCTCAGGGCCATGACTAGCTAAGGAAAAGGGAAGGAAACTGGGGAAGGTGGCTGATAAATGTGCATTTTTATATTCTCTTAAACAGGGGGAATGAGCAATAACTGCAGCTTTGCCCCCTGCCCTGTGAGAAGGCAGAATGCACAACAAGTTTTCTTTCTCCTTTCCCCTGTGATTGTCCTGGGGCAAATATTTCTCAGGGACTCACTTCACAGAGGCATTCAGACCACAAAGCACAACTCAGATCTCCCTGTCCATTTATGTAACAGCCCCACCTGAATTTTCCTCTGATAGTCGTCCTGGGACAAGCACATGAACATGGTCTCTTGTGCGATTGGATTATACTTGTCCAGGTACCCTAAGCAAAGGGCTGCGTCGAATGACACGCTGTCCATGGGATCTTGCAGGTTCACCAACCGTCGCAGATTTCGGATTAAACTGGACCGGGCACCTATCCAATACCACTAGGGGAAGAGAGCAGCTGCATTAGGTGCAACAGTGATCTGAAAGCTGTTTAAATAGGCCCAGAAAGAGAAGAAACTGGCAGAGCACATGTCTATCTGTAATACAGCCCCACATATTACCTCAAGTTCAGGTGTCATTGACCATGCCTGCAGGGATACCTTCAGCGCACTCAGTGTATCTTCTCTCCGATTCAGACTCGCATCCTTTAGGTGTCTAATTAGCATTTTCACTACAGAGGTATCTAGGCAACCTGCTCCAGAGAATCAAGAGGCAGTGATCAAAGGGGAAAGCAAAACTCCCAGGAAGTTTTATTTAATTACCCCTTAACTGAAGTTCTCTGCGGGCATACATAAACATATTCAAAATAAAAACGCAAAGCAATAAAAATACAATTAGAGCAAAGATAAACAAATAAATTCAAGCGCAAGAGTTCAGTGACAATGGAGGGGAAGCACATTCAGTGGCGTAGCGTGGGGGGTGCAGGGGGGCCGGCCGCACCGGGCGCAACATCTGGGGGTTAGGGGGCGCAAATCCACGGGTTGGGGGCGGAAATCTACGGGTTAGGGGGCGCAAATTACTTGCCTTGCCCCGGGTGCTGACAACCCACACTACGCCACTGAGCACATTACAAGGCAAAACAATTCTGAGGATATATATTCTAGACAGAATATTTCTTTCCCCCTTTAAAAACAGAAATACCAAACCCACACCTGCCTGCCAGCTTGAGAGGACGGATGCTGATACTCTTTAGCAAACAAAAAGTGAAAGTAGGCTGCTTATTATTATGATTGGTTATTAATACTTCAGATATTCCAGGCTGAGCTGCGGTATCCAAAAGAAGTTTGTAAGGCTGAGCCTTGGCTCAAATCTTGCTTACAGATGTGATTTCAGTCTTCAAAGGCATTCTGAAAAAGATCACTGGGCAATTTGCAGCCTGTGTGTTTATCTGAAAACAAATTCTACTGATTTCGGTTGGACTTGCTCCCAGTCCAAGGATTCCTTCCTTAATCTCACTCTGAAGTCCATCAGGAAATAGAAGTCTCCAATTCAATCAAAGTCCACGTGTGTCTAAAAAAATTGGCCGGGGGTTCTGAGCAATCAAAACATTCAAATCCAACAGAAAGTCATCTGAAATATCAGCCCACACAGGAATCTCAAATGGTTATATCCCTGTAACAGAGGGGACCGGAAGTCACCTTTTACAATTCTGCCACAAGCGTGGAATGTGCAAAAGAAAGCTGAGAGGGAGGAAAAAACCCTCCTCTGCTTGCATGTGACAAGGCCTATAATACACGAGGATTGCTATAAATGCACCAGGGAGCATTCCTCTGTGAGTAATAAAAAAAATTAGCCACCCCAGAAGGAAGAAGGAAGAAAAGAGCTCAAGTCCATCTAACTCTGGTTTGTTTTTCTGTCCAAACCGGGGCATGGTCAGCGCTAACTATGGCTGTCCAAACAAGTTGGCTTCAAACTGTGCTGAACGATCTTGTGTTGTGTGGATAATGATCAGAGGCGAAATGTCACTCACCTAGCAAAGCCAGCGACCGGGCTGCTTCATACTGCAAAGGCAAGCTGTTGCATTCCTGGAACTGAGAGAATAAGTACTCATGGCAGGCCAGCTGGAAACCACTTACTTATACATGCATGAATATCTAAGCATATCACAGGGGCACAGAATGGAAGTGGAAGGGTTCGAAAGACCAAAGCCAAGCACCCTGCCTGCCCACTCACCAGGCCACAGCTCAATCCAAGATTGTATATATAGCATAAGCACAGAGGAGGCACGTGAAAAGCAAATACCTATAAATTAATTAAGTCATGCTGCATGATAAGGCAAATTCCCTCCAGCCCCAACAAGTTCTTAATATGACAGGGAAACTTTCCCCAGTAATAACTACAGCGAGTCTTGCTCCAGACCACAGTTACAAGGGGCTCTATATTTAACCTCAGAAGAGTCACACACATACCCATTTCCCTTGTGGGCTATGCCATTGCCAAACAGTGAGATATGATGACTTAGAAGGGTGGGACGTGGGTGGCGCTGTGGGTTAAACCACTGAGCCTAGGGCTTGCTGATCAGAAGGTCGGCGGTTTGAATCCCCGTGACGGGGTGAGCTCCTGTTGCTCGGTCCCTGCTCCTGTCAACCTAGCAGTTCGAAAGCACATCAAAGTGCAAGTGGATAAATAGGTACCGCTCCGGCGGGAAGGTAAACGGCGTTTCCGTGCACTGCTCTGGTTCGCCAGAAGCGACTTAGTCATGCTGTCCACAGCCAGTAAAGTGAGATGAGCGCCGCAACCTCAGAGTCGTCCGCGACTGGACCTAACGGTCAGGAGTCCCTTTACCTTTACCTAACTAGATGTTACAGGAGATGCAGGGCTGCCACTGACCCACATCTCCCCATGTGTATCCCCAGAAACAGCTGTTAAAGGAAATGCCTAATGAGATGCTACCACATTCAAGAATTCGCTGCTCCTGCATGTGACAGTTAGTGAACTGGCAAGGGGGAGGTGTCACACAATGATATCCCGTTCCCATCACACTCCTCCCTCCCAGATGCTACTGAGTATGAGGGAGATTCATACCAGCACTAGCCAAATGCCCCATTTAGTATCTAGTTAGAAAAGTCTGGAAATGCCCATCACAAGATGGCAACAGTCCATGGGGATTCTACTTACAGTATTAAAAAGTGCAGATGTGACAGATTCCTCAGCAACCCCGAGTTGTCCAAGGGCCTAGGAAGACAGGCAGAGAAATCAGAATAATCACAAGGGTGGCTTCTCCCAATTCCTGCGGGAAACTGCAGAGAGATTTGTTTCTGCCTTGAAAAATATAAATGCACTACAAACTACAAGACTGCTTTCTGGAGAGGCTTTGAAAAGGCACACAGCTGACCCACACTCGATTGCTTTCTCTGGTCCACCACATCTTCGAACAAAAGGCATTCATCACCCACTACAGTGGTACCTCAGGTTACATACGCTTCAGGTTACAGACGCTTCAGGTTACAGACTCCACTAACCCAGAAATATTACCTCGGGTTAAGAACTTTGCTTCAGGATGAGAACAGAAATCGTGCTCTGGCAGCGCGGCAGCAGCAAGAGGCCCCATTAGCTAAAGTGATGCTTCAGGTTAAGAACAGTTTCAGGTTAAGAACGGACCTCCGGAACGAATTAAGCCTGTTTCCTCTCAGAGCTGGAGAAAGAAGACGCCATGAATCCTTTGCCTGTACATAGTGTGTGAATAAATACATAGATGAGCTCTACGATGTCTCATGCTTCTTGCTATGTTATGCTAGATTAGTGTGCATATATCATTTGATATATGTCACTGAAGCACACTGGAGAAGAAGGGTAATGCCTTTTCCAGAGCTGTGCATACCAGAGGATGCTTGGAGTTTGGGGCTGCAGAGACACCCCCAGGGCGTTTTCCAACACTATTGCCCCTACCATAAACAAGTTGAGCTGTTCCCATCCACCTGGAACAGGTGCAAGGTAAGGCAAGTCGCCACTTCGAAGTTTCCTGCTTTAGCTGAAAGGACTTCTGGGGAAGCACAACATGGGCAGAGAGTCTAGAGGCCAGCCAAACCTTTGCTCTATTTCTGCTGTGTCACTTCTATAGCTTGTTGTTGTTGTTGTTTAGTCGTTTAGTCGTGTCTGACTCTTTGTGACCCCATGGACCAGAGCACGCCAGGCACTTCTGTCTTCCACTGCCTCCCGCAGTTTGGTCAAACTCATGCTGGTAGCTTCGCGAACACTATCCGACCATCTCGTCCTCTGTCGTCCCCTTCTCCTTGTGCCCGCCATCTTTCCCAACATCAGGGTCTTTTCCAGGGAGTCTTCTCTTCTCATGAGGTGGCCAAAGTATTGGAGCCTCAGCTTCACGATCTGTCCTTCCAGTGAGCACTCAGGGCTGATTTCCTTAAGAATGGATAGGTTTGATCTTCTTGCAGTCCATGGGACTCTCAAGAGTCTCCTCCAGCACCATAATTCAAAAGCATCAATTCTTCGGCGATCAGCCTTCTTTATAGTCCAGCTTTCACTTCCATACATCACTACTGGAAAACCATAGCTTTAACTATATGGACTTTGTTGGCAAGGTGATGTCTCTGCTTTTTAAGGATGCTGTCTAGGTTTGTCATTCACTTTTCTCCCAAGAAGCAGGCGTCTTTTAATTTTGTGACTGCTGTCACCATCTGCAGTGATCCATGGAGCCCAAGAAAATAAAATCTCTCCACTTCCTCCATTGCTTCCCCTTCTATTTGCCAGGAGGTGATGGGACCAGTGACCACAATCTCAGTTTTTTTAATGTTGAGCTTCAGACCATATTTTGCTCTCTCCTCTTTCACCCTCATTAAGAGCCCATTTTAGCCCTACATTATGTTAGTCCCAAAGTATGGTCTCAGGGCCTGAGATCTTGCAGGTAAACTGGTCCCAAGTTTTAGAAAAGCATTGAAAAATAGGAAAAGGGGGGAATAATAATAAGGCATGAAAAGGATAAGAATTGGTAAGATACACCCATTTAAAAATACATAAATACTGTGCTTTTTTTCCGGAAAAAATGTTTAGGGTACTCTCATTTTCCTGCCCATATTGAAATACTGCCCCTCAATGAGGCCAAACTTAGATTTACAAAATGTTTATGGGCAGTGCTTTTTATATATAAAAAAAATATATTTAGAGGTACTCTCATTTTGACTCAAGAAAATCACCATTTTATAGTTCAAATCGGGGAAAATAAATACAGTAAAAGGACAAAAATTCACAAAGCATTTAGGGGTATGCGTACCCTTGCATCCCTCCAGAAAAAAAGCACTGAATAAATAAGGCATAGGGTGGGGGACTTATAAAACTGGCAAGGTTATTATTGTACTCATCCTAAATTTAACCTAATACAGTGTTTATTAAAAATGATTTCCAAATATAATTAAATTTGTCCCTGTCAATTCTATGTTTGTACACAATTTATTCATTTATTGCAAGATTATACAGAGCTTCTATCTGAAGGGAGATACATTTTTGTTTTTCCAGTTCATCAATACCAGTCTTTCTTTGCCGTGGTAAGGCTGAAGTGAGTCCATTTGTATTGTCCCTTTGTTAGGTTCTGTGTACTGGGTATATACAGTCCTACCTTGGAAGCTCCTGCAGCCAATCAGAAAGCCGCAGAAGCTCCGTCAGACATTTGGCTTCGAAAAAATACCGTATTTTTCGCTCTATAAGACGCACCAGACCACAAGACGCACCTAGTTTTTGGAGGAGGAAAACAAGAAAAAAAATATTCTGAATCTCAGAAGCCAGAACAGCAAGAGGGATTGCTGCGCAATGAAAGCAGCAATCCCTCTTGCCTTTCTGGCTTCTGGGATAGCTGCACAGCCTGCATTTGCTCCATACGACCACACACACATTTCCCCTTACTTTTTAGGAGGGGAAAAGTGAGTCTTATAGAGCAAAAAATACGGTAGTTCGCAAACCAGAACAGTCACTTCTGGGTTTGTGGCATTTGGGAGGCAAGCTGTTCGAAAACCAAGGTACTACTGTAATTGCGAAGGATTTCAATAAAGAAAACGTGTGTGTGTGTGTTTTAGAAACTATGCATGCACTTTTAGATGCAAACTGAACTGAATTTATCTCCCAGTCCTAAACGGGGAGTTCGAGCAATGGACCAGAGTGGAAACCTCCAACCTCTGGGTTTCTCTCCCCTCCTGCATAGCCCTATCAGTGCACCAGTAAACATCTCTTGACTAAACGGTCTCGTCTCAATGAATGGCCTGTGCTTAATGGGGCGGCAGCAGCAAAATAATGAAACAAAGACTGGTGAAAAGAGGAAGGCTCTTGACAGCTTTGGAATCCCAGCTTCTGGGCTACGAGGCATTAGTGAGAACTGAGCCAGGAGCCAGGTTTGCAGCAGGTAGCTTTCCTACAGAGCTGCAGTCCAGTCGATAAGGCAAGGTCCGCTGCGCCGAAGCTGTTGCCTGAAATTGGCGCCTGATGCAGACGACAGGGTTTCGTGAGGTGAGGAATTGTGGCTGAGTGCAGCCGTGGGGATGGGGTGGGAACACCAGGCAGGCATGCGGGCACCTGGGGATAGAGCTAAAAGATGGAGAAGTGGCAGGAACCCTTGCTGATGGTTGGAGCAGGAGGCAAAGCAGGATCAAAATTGGGACAGATAATGGCTGAGCAGCAAGCAGGAGAGTCGGAAGTGAGCTGAGCAACCAGATTCATTGTGTTGAGGATGGGGGATTTGCCATCCTCCAGATGTTGATGTACTCCACCCCCATCAGACCTAGTCAACGTGGCTGATGGTGAGAGATGATGGGCATTCTAGTCCAGCAACATCTGGAGGGCCACAAGTCCTTCCCCCCTGCTTTAAGTCACATGACAGTGGCTGTCACATAATGGTGTGGTATCCCCAACTTCCAGCAGCGGGTTGCTGAGTACAGTGGCATAGCATGGGTTGCTGGAACCCGTGGCAGGGCAAGTGTTGCTACCCCTCTGGTGGACCAGGTAGTTGGGCTGGAGGTGTGTGCTGGGGGGGCACAGAGCCTGAATAGAGGGTGAACAGAGCCTGGGAGGCACAAGGCAACCAACCATG